AAGTGCACATGAAACATTCTCAAAAACAGACCACATGGTAGGACACAAAATAAGTCTTAAAAAATTCCAGAACACTGAAATATTAAGCACCTTCTCAGATCACAATTGCATGAAACTAGAAATCATCTATAATTTAAAAAACTCAAAGACACTCGAACACATAAAGGCTAAATAACATGTTACTAAACAATGAATAGTTACTAATGACATAAAGGAAAAAACAAAATATTACCTGGAAACAAATGAAAATGAACACACAACAACCCAAAATCTATGGGACACAGTGAAAGCTGTTCTGAAGGAGAAGTTTATAGCATTTACAAGCCTACCTCCAGAAGCAAGAAAAAACTCAAGCAATCTAGCCCTATCCCTATAAGAACTACAAAAAGAACAAGAAAAGCCTAGAGTAAGCAAAAGGAAGGAAGGAATAAAGATCAGAGCAGAAATAAATGATGTAAGTCTAAAAAATACAAAAGGTACATGAAAGCAAGAGTTGGTTCTTTATAAAGATAAACAAGATCAATGAACCTCTAGCTACACTTATCAAGAAACAAAGAAGAGGACCCAAATAAAATCAGAAATAAAAGAGAAGTAAAAACTGACATCAAAGAAATATAAAAGACTGTAGAAAATGCCGTGTGAACAGCTATATGCCAGCAAATTGGACAGCCTGAGAGAAATGGACAAATTCTTAGAAACATAACAATCTTCTAACACTCAATAAAGAAGAATCAGAAAACCTGAACATACCAGTAACGGCTAGTGAAGTTGAAGGATTAATCAAAAAACTCCCAGCAAATAAAAATCCTGGACTGATGGCTTCACAGTAGAATTTACCAAACATTCAAAAAGGAACTAATACCCTTCCTCCTTAAACTATTCCAAAAAATTCATGACTAGGAAAGACTTTCAAGCTTTCTTTTTATGAGGTCACATTATTCTAATTCCAAAACCAGATAAAGACACAACAAAGAAGAAAAGTATAGGTCAATATCCCTGATGAACATAGATACTAAAATCCTCAACCAAGTATTAGAAAACCAGATCCAGAATACATTAAGAAGATCATATACCATGATCAAGAGGGATTTATTCTGGGGATACAAAATTGGTACAAAATATGCAAATCAATAAATATGACACATCACAAACAAAATTAAAGATAAAAATCACATGATCATATCACAGATACAGAAAAAACATTCAACAAAATCCAACACCCAATTTATGATAAAAAAAACTCTCAACAAAGTGGGAATAGAGGGATCATACCTCAACATAATCAAGGCCATATATGAAAAACCTACAGGCAACATCATAACAAATGGACAAAAACTAAAAGTGTTTGTCTTAAGATCAGGAATAAGAGAAGGATGTCTACTTTCACAGTGGTCAGACAAGAAGAAATAAAAACCATCCAAACTGGAAAGGAGGAAGTAAAACTGTCATTATTCCACAAATGACATGATAATGCACACAGAAAACCCTAAAGGCTCCACCACAAAACCATTAGGTCTAATAAATGAATTCAGCAAATTAGCAGGATACAAAAATCAGTATCTAGAAATTAGTGGCTTTTTTACACACTAATAATGAATTCTCTGAAAGAGAAACTAAGAAAATGATCCCATTTAGTATTGTGACAACAGCAACTAGAAATGAAGGTAACTAGGAATACACTTAACTAAGGAAATAAAAGACCTGTACTCAGAAAACTATAGGACATTAAAGAAAGAAACAGCAGAAGATACAGCAAGTGGAAGCATGTAGTGTGTGCTGCTCATGGATGGGAAGAATTAATATCATTAAAATGTCCATATTTGCCAAAGTAATCTATAGATTCAATGCAACTCCTATTGAAATACCAATAGCATATGTCACAGTTCTAAATAAATAGTCCAAGACTTTATATGGAACCAAAAAGATCCCAAATAGCCTCAGCAATCTTGAGAAAGAAAAACAAAGTTGGTGAGATCAGAATATCAGATATCAAACTACACTACAAAGCCAATGTAATCAAAACAGCCTGGTACTGGCACAAGAACAGGAGAATAGATCAATAGAACAAAACAGAGAGCCCAGAAATCAACCCACACCTTTACGGTCAATTAATATTTGACAAAGGAGGCAAGAGCATACAATGGTGTAAAAACAGTGTCTTCAATAAATGGTATTGGGAAAATTGGCCAGGTACCTGGCAAAAAAATGCAACTAGACCACCAACTTATACCATACACAAGAATAAATTCAAATTTATAAAAGACTTAAATATAAGTTGCAAAACCATAAAAATACTAGAAGAAAAAACAGGCAGTACAATCTCTGACATCTCCTAGAGCATTATTTTTGCCAGTATGTCTCTGAGGGCAAGGGAAACAAGGGAAAAAATAAATACATGAGACTATATCAAGTCAAAAAGCTTATGTACAGCTAAAGAAACCATCAACAAAATGAAAAGGGAACCCACTGTATGGGAAGACATATTCACCAACGATACATCTGGTAAGCGGTTAAAATCCAAAATATATAAAGAACTTATACACGTCAATACCAGAAGACAAACAATCCAATTAAAAAATGAACAAAGGACCCATCCAAACAGACCCTTCTCCAAAGAGAACATACAGATGGCCAATGGACATATAAAAAATGCTCAGCATCATTCATCATCAGAGAGATGCAAATCACAACTACAGTGAGATATATCACCTCATACCTGCAGAATGGTTACTATCAATAAATCAAAAAACAACAAGTGCTGGCAAGTATGTGAAGAAAAGGGAATGCTAGTGCACTGCTGGTAGAAATGCAGACTGGGCAGACTCAACAAAAATTAAAAATGGAACTGCCTTTTGACCCAGCAATACCACTTCTGGAATATATCTTAAGAATCCTGGAACACCAATTCAGTAAAATATATACACCTCAATGTTCACAGCAGTATTATTTACAATAGCCAAGATCTGGAAATAGCCCGAATGCCCATCAATAGATGAGTGGAGAAAAAAGATGTGGTACATTTCCACAATGCAATACTATGCAGCTGTATGAAAGAAGGAACTCTTACCCTTTGCAACAGCATGAATGGACCTGAAGGTTATCATGATAAGCAAAATAAGCCACTCAGAGAAAGACAAATACCATATGATCTCACTAATATATGGAATCTAATGAACTAAACAACAAAATAGAACCAGAGGCATGGATACATGGACTAGACTGACAAATGTTAGAGGGGAGCAGTGGGGAGGACTGGATAAAAGAAGGTGAAGGGATTAAAGTATATATGTATGTGTTTGTGTGTGTGTGTGTGTGTGTGTGTGTGTGTGCGTGCATATCCCATGGATACAGACAATAGTATGGTGAAGCCCAGCAGAAGGGGGCTGCTGCTGAATGGAGGTGGGTAAAGGGGGAAAAAATGAGGGACATGTATGATAGTGTCAACAAAAGAAATTTCTTAAATAATAAAATAAACAGCATTTCAGATACTAGGATGAATAAAAATTAATATTATTTTAGTAGCTCTGAAAATATATCAGATTTCATTTTGCTCGTTAATAATTTAAAATTCTTTACTTCATATTGACATTGTACACTTAATTTTCAGTCTTTCCTTGTATAATTAAACAATGTAAATATACAATGTCATTCCATTTCATGTAACTACTATTAAATTCATGTATGTAAATTTTTAAAAAATAGTGCCAAGCTTCAGACATTTTGGTGATCACCTTGATGTGCGCCTATGCCAGTGGCCACTTGCGCTAGGCTTATGGTCACTTAGTTGAAGCTCCTTTCCAAGCCAACCTTGGACATAGCTTATGCCAGGCTTGCAGCTATCTGATGGCAGTTATAATGCAAGCTGAGACAGACTGTTGGTTGTATTGCACTTGGGGAGTCTTAACAAGTGGTATAGGACATGCCATGGACAGCCCCCAGTTGTTTGGATTTGGAGACTCTTGAGATATTTTAGGAATATCCACAGCATAAGCTAACACAGACCGCTTGTGTGGAACAGCTACTGGAAGTGGCTCAGGGTGTGTTGGTGTCTGAGGCAATCAACATGGCTGGAAAAACAATGTTAGCCAGGTTAATGGAGAGCACAGATTTGGAGCCAACCTAAGCCTGCCAGATAGGTAGTGGGAGGGGTCAACAAAGTAACAAAAGTAGTGCCTACCAGCACTTTGGTCCCCAGATAGCATTGTTCTGACCTCTGCCCTTCCATCTCTCACCCCTAAGCTACTCTATTCAGTTCCTCTTTGCAAGTCCTTGCTGTTCCTGTGCTGGTGCCTAGAAGGAGGGAATTCATGAGGGAATTAGCCCATAGGCCTCTCAAGAGGAATGCCTGGGACTCCAGGAGCCCTCTGCCTCACTCAGATACAATTCCCACAGGTTTTCACAGCCAGATATTATGGGCACTCCTGTCAAGGAAGCCCAGTGTGGTGCTGGAACCCCTCATTCCTTAGGGGAGACCTCTATAGCTGAAATATCCCTTCTGATTCTTAATTACCCCACATGGGTGTGAAACCTGCACATTCTGCACCTCTACTCCTCCTATCACTCTCAACATGGCTGCTTTATCTTTTTAGTTATAATATCTATAAGTTCAGCTAGTCTTCAGATGGTTCTCAATGATGTGTTCTGTAACTTAGTTGTAATTTGATGTGGTTGTGGGAGGAGTTAAGCACAGCGTTTACCTACTCTACCATCTTGACAAGAAGTCCTGAGCCTCTTCCTTTAAAAAAGAAGGTCAGGGGAAAAATATGTAGTTCTCTAAATTATGCCTCTATTGGCCCTGGCCAGGTAGCTCAGTTGGTTAGAGCATCGTCCCAATATGCCAAGGTTGCAGGTTCGATCTGTGGTCAGGGCACACACTAGAAGCAAGCAATAAATGCATGAATAAGTGGAGAAGATAGATGACGGTGTTTCTTTCTCTCTTTCTCTCTTAAAATCAATGAAAAAAATAAGCCTCTATTAAAAGCTACTTTAGGGTTACTTACTTTCGAAAGGGCTTTGGTGTCCCATGTTCAGGTATCCTAAAACAATAAAAAATAACATAAAAACAAAATGTAATAAAAAACTTTTGCTAAAGATACTCAAAACTGGGTTAAATGAGTGGCTGATAAATAATTCTACCGGATATTATAAGATTAATATCAAACTAAAAAACATTTAGTACCCACCTAATATGTACTACCAACCTAAGTTCTAGTTCCTTCCCAAAAAATCACATGTAGTAAAAACTCTGCAAAATATAGGGATACTGTACAATCAAAAAACTTTAAGCAATGTCCTAAACTTACACCTAAATGATCACTGAATTACCTTTCTGTTTCCCATTCCTCCTCTTGCACCTGATCTAATGGAGGAAGCAGAAAATCAAAGATGATATTAGAAGTGCGAGGTGTGCCATCCAAGGAATCTCCAGATACTGGTGTTTCTCCAACTTGCTTTGATCCTGCAAAGACAAATGTCACACATTCAATTCATGTTAATATTTAATATTAAGATGATTTCAAAAAAATGTTAGTCCCAAAGACTTCAACCAAAGCCATAGTCACATTCACATTTAAACAACTGTGGGTTAGCTAGAACCAAAATTCAAGTCTATAAAATTTTAAAATACACTAAAAATAAACAGGAAAATCAATTTTAATTGCTTTTAAAAGTCAACACAGGACATGGCAACAACTCAGAAGAGAAAACAACATTCTCTTACCCTATCTTTCTCTATCCCCAATCTTTTTCATTCAAATTTTAGAGAGTATGGTGATCTAATAACAAATAGTAACTTATATTTCTTTTTCCTAATTTATTATCTTTAGATAATACCTAGTTCTTCCTCCTCTGAAGATATTGCTCATTTATGCTTCCTACTTTCACTTTCCCCGTGTTTATCCCCAACATTTAATATTTATTAGTAGTTGGATTATTGGTTTTAATTAAGTTTGAACAATATAATTATATCTATATTTTTTTTACATCAAGAAGTTAATATCAGATTACTCTTCTACATCACATTAGGTATTTGGTGTACATATCCTTCCTTCTAATTATATTTCTTTCCTCTACCTTCATTTCTTTCAACTACAATTTTACTTGTTTTAACATTTCTATTCTGATCTGCAGCCACAACTAAATATTCTATGCTTTGTCTAAGAAATTGATTCTAAAAGTCTAAAAACGAGTAAAGTGCTTACATTATTAGGTCATTATATACATATTGTCATATACAATATACAACATACATGTAACTATTATTCCTGTCAGGTTAATAGGTATACTAGTTAAGATTATATTTTCTTTTCAATTGGCCCAATAATGCAAAATCCTGGGCCACTTGAAATTAAAGTTTTATTCTATTAAAGTCTTATACCCCATCAATTACTTTAAAATTATGCCACTTTTTATTTTGCTTCTTGTTTAAAATCATGACTTAACTTTCTGAACAACTGTTTTTTGCAATGCTTTTCTATTATTACTGTCAAAGTAATATAGTTTTATCAAGTCTCAATTTTTCTTCATCTGCTACATCATACGACAGTATGCTTAAAATCCTTCTCTTGCTTATTATCCTTTATGTTCTTGCATTCCAATCTGAAACAGCTGTTCCCTTGGCCTGTGACACAATTACCATCCTGGAACTCCTCTTCATCACTTTCCTAAGTTGTTTCCACTTTTCCCTGATCTCATGACATTTTCTTTCCTAATGCTTTTCTCATCTTGCTGAAGTGGTACCTTCAAATAATTTTAAAGAAAAAGCTACATTTAAGTTAGACTTTTAATCCTGGCATATCTGAAAATCTCTTTATATCTTTCTTCATATTTTATGGATAGTTTGAATGAATATAGAATTCTAAGTTCAATATCATTTTCTTTCAGCAAGCTGAAGGCATTGTTCTTTGTAGTCAAGCACCTAGTGTTATAATGAGAAATGTGATGTAGCATAACCCCTATTTTCTCTCGAAAGATTTTTCTTTTTTTATCTTTGGTATAGTGAAATTTCCAAAGTCATTTTAGGTATGGATCTCTCATTTTTATTATTATTCACTGTAGTTGGTTCCTAGTGAGCTCTTTCTACCTGAAAATGTGTATTCTCTTTCAATTCTGGAAAGATTTCTTCTGTCATTTCTCTAACTGCCTCTTCTCATTTTCTTCTACTGATGTTTTGTGGAGATGACCTCTGTAGTGATTCTCTATATAATTTTTGTCTCTTTAATTTCTATCTCTTGATATTTATAATACACATTCTGAAATATTTCCTTGACTATATTTCTAGGGACTATTTGTTTCTTTAAATACTAGCAGTTAAAGCAGTTTAAAAATACGTACACAAATTCTTTTACACTTATCTCTTCAGGGGTATAGCCTAATTCTTCTGACCTTGAGTGCGGACTATATTTAATGACTTGCTTTTAACTTGCTGAAGTGACAGTATGCACCTACAGAAACTGAAGTTATAAAAGATATTGGGGCTTCTTTCTTGCTCTGTCTTTGGATCCCCAGGGTGATCCTGGGGAAAGTCAGCTACCATGTCATAGAACACTCAAGCAGCTCTATGGAGAAGCCCATGTGGTAAGGAACTGAGGCTTCCAGCAAGGAACTAACATCTTTCTGCCACCAGCCACCTGTGTGAGCATGGAAGCCAGTCTCCTGACCTCAGCTAAGCTTTCAAATGACATCTTACCTGTAACCTTATGAGAGACCCAAAGCCAGAACCACCCAGCTAAGCTACTGTTGAGTTCCTTGTCCACCAAAAAAATGTGAGATAATGCTTTCTGTGTTAAACCCTTAAGTGTTGGTATAATTTATCACACAACAATTGCTAAATAATATAATAATTACTATACCATATGCAGTAGTTATACTGAAACTATTTCTGGTCTTTGAATGCTTTTTTATAGCATCCTATTCTTGTTTTACAGACATAATGATTTATTCTTCCCAAGTATACTGTCCAATGTAAGAGGTATTTTTTCAAGTGCTTGTCTATTACCAAAATTATTGTTTTCTGCTACTTTTTCTGTTCTTTTAATATTCTCTTTTTTATACCACTAATATGCTTGGCATTATATATTATCTTAGATCTTGACTCTAACAAGCACATTTTCCAAGAGTGAGTAATGCTGCTCATACTTAAAAATGTAAGACCTGGCAGATGATTTGGCTTTCTTTTGCTACTACTTGTAAGTAGATCCCTTTCAGTTGGAGTTTTCTGAGCAGGATGAAGCCCTAGCTTGCCTACTGTCAGGCTTTAGGCCCGTAAATGTTAGAACTCCAGGACAATCATATCATGGAGAACTTAATTTTCTCTTTACAATTCATTCAACTTCCCTAAAACAGAGCACACTCTTCTTCTGATACATAAATGAGAAACTACTTACATTTTATAATGCAAGGATCAGAAGCTGCTGACATAATTGTTTTGATTACAGACTTTCAATTTACTCATTATTTTCAACTTTCCTTCTCATTTATGTACTCTATAACACATGCATTTCTGAGACTGAAGTCTCAACAAGCTTCTAATGGGCAGACTGGCTCCCACCTTGAATTTCTCAAACAAACTTTGGGCTCCAGTTTCCTTTACGGTGCTTTATCCATCAAACCACTATTGTCCTCTTTCAATCTCCCAAAACTGTGTTGAAATCTCCTATTTGTTGATAACATCTTATCTTCCTCTACATACTTTCTCTTTACAGTTTTCATTTGTTACCTATCATGTTTGTATTTCCGAAAGATATAGGACACATGAATTAATGTATGTACATAATCCAACATCTTCAGAATTCTCTATCAGACAAAATCTCCAGATTTTTCTCCGTCACCCATACTTCTTTGTCTTAACTAAAAACATGCCTATCCCATGACAATGCTACTTCTTATGTGACAGCCCTCTCAAATAGAGACTTATGTTTCTGTCAAACACTATGTACTTTAGGGTAGAGATGGGATGGACAGCCTACTTCTTCCTCAATACTATTTTTAGACCATTACCTAGCTGTCTTATAAAAATCCCCTTGTTCCACTAAGGCTTTCATTGTCTAGATATGATTACATGTTCTCCTTCCTTACAACAATCATCTAGTAACACTGAACCTTTGGTAGCTGGCTCGAAGTTTTCTTCTTAATGCTCATATCCCACGAGGTGACCTCAAAACCTATATACACATTAAGCTATTCAAACTCCTGTCTCCTTGGTTCCTCACCTTCTTCATCTCTGACAACTTCCTCAATGCCACCTCTCTGGACACTCCCACAGCTTTATCACTTTATCATTTATCTTGACATCACCAGAACTGGAACTGCCTCCCAAATCACTAATAAAGATAGGCATTCCCTTTTCCAAATAAAACCACCTATTCTCCCAGCTCACTTGCTTATAATGGATTAGGAAACCCATTATAACAAGTATAAAGAAATATGCTAATAAGCTCTTTTCCCAATTATCTACAATTACTTCACATCTTTCTTTAAATCCCCTTGTTCTTTTCATCAAAGCCTCACTCTTAGGTAATAACCTTATCTTTCACATATACTCTGCATCTCATCTCTTTCTTTTTCAAAACTTTGTTCTATTGGTTATGTAGTTTATTTCTTGCATCTTCAACTTCATTCTTATAACTGGTTTCCCCTTAGCATTTAAAACACATTTCTGGTATCTCTCATTTTTAAAGTCTTCTTTAGATCCCTCACATCTGGCCCTAATCACTGACCAGTCCCCTCAATACTCACTTTACCTTTCCTCTATTGTATTTAGCACAATTTGAATTTGTGTGTGTTTGTGTGTGTATGACTATTTCCCCATGAGACTAAGCTGAGACTTCTTGTGGGGCAAGAATCTATGTATAATTATTGTATGCTAACATCAGTTATGAAGCTTAATAAATACTTTTTGAATGGATGAGAACTTAAAAATTATCATTCACGTAGGTTTTTCACTTGTTGTAAAATATTAAAATTTAAAACTAAATTGAACTGGGATTCAGTCTTGATTAAAATAATCTGCCACTCTATTTCTTAGTAGTTTTATTGTTTTAAAATCTCAATACTTAGTTAATTTGAACTACAGCTCACCTGTATCATTCTCTTTCCCTCCTTCCTGGGAAAGAGTGGCCACTGAAGCCATAGAAGACATGCAATGGGCTGGTAGGTATCCAATGTCTGATCCTTCACTTGCTAACCCACTCTGGCGCAACTTAGCAATGTCCTGAGGCTCAGGACTCACAGATAAGGGTACGGATAAATGCTTAGGGTGGCGCTGCTTCTGTAGTTCCATGGCTCTGCCAACTGAACAGAAAGAAAAGGTCAAAAATTTGTGTTTCAAAACAACTAAAAAAAGATGATCTAAAAGATCTGGAAAAATGTCTAAAACCAGGTAGGCCCTAGAAAAATGTAAGTTTAGTTATTATACATAGTGAGAAAGAAAGGAAAGAAAGAAAGAAAAATGAGAGGAAAAGACAAAGAAAGGTAGAAGAGGGAAGGAAATAGAAGATGGATAAAAAGAAAAAGGAGAGAGATGGTGGAAGATGAGGGGGAGAAATAGGAGGTAAAAAAGATGAGTCATGAGAAAGGGAGATGAGGGGAGCAGTTGTAGGAGGGGGAAAAGGGAATGCTGACAAAGATAGATACATATGGAACTGTACTCATTTGTAAGTGTGATGAAGCCTTTTGACTCCGTGAGCTCTTAGAAGCTCCCCATTTGTCCCTAACACTCCCAACTTCATCATCAAAACATGCCTCAGAGACCATCCAGACTAATCCTTATCCTGCTCATTACTCCTCTGCACATCTGTCACAAGAAGCTAAAACCTTTCAGGTCATCCATCCTCCACAGAACTTACATCATTAATTAATCATTAACCTATATATCATTAATCATAAAATTCTTCCTCCCTTAATTCCAAAAATTATTTTCTTCTGTATTCCTTGGAACTCTTGGTCAGCACATGTGAAATGCTCCATCTTCTCAATGTTTCTCAACAAAGGTACTAAAGGCATCTGAGTGAGAATTCCTCATTGTGAAGGATGTTTAGTATCACTATATCGCAATACCATCTTACCATCTCCACTCCAACCATGCCAACATATTCAAACATGGTACTGCCTAAGTTATGGACCACTACATGAACTAGTTTCCTCCCCACAGTACTACTATACCTATTTCTCCTATAGCCTTCTCTAGTGGGCTGATTTTTCTCCATTAAGCCAGAAGGTAGAGGGAGATAAGAAAACAAAGCACAATCGAGAGATGAAAAATTATGGAATTAAGGAAAGAATAATATATGTATAAAGAAATTAAACAAAGTATGGTGAAGAGAACCAGGCACATATAGATTTTTAAAAATTTAACAATCAGAACTTGAATACAAACAAAATTAGAACAGGGAAATAAGTTGTATCATGGATAACTGATGGAATGCTCTGCCATTAAAGATGATGTTTATAACAATTATATAGCCACATGCAGAAATTTAGTTCAGTTATAACATTGAATGGAAGCAAGGCACATTGGAAGTTCAGTGGAATCATGACAAGAATATCTATTTCCAACAACTCATTCTGGCTAAATGAACCTCTGATAAAAGGAGGCATGGAATGGTAGGAATGCAGCATTTCAAACTTCAACATACTTGCACTATTGTCATGACGGCTTGGCCTCCTTGGGGGTCCCAGGATGCTGGAGAATCCTCTGCGCTTCCCTTTCTCTTCACCTTCCCTATCTTTCTTCATAGTTTGCTAGAGTCAAGGTACAATAAAAGAAATAAGAGATACATAACAGAGTAGATTTATTTTGTTGCTCTCAAGGACAGAAATGCAATTTCAATGATCATTTATAAGAAATTAGTTAAATGTAAATGAAAGACACACACACACACACACACATAATTCTCCTTAGAAACTAGTACACACTACTATGTACACATCAAACTTAGATATCGGGGTGGGGGGGAGGTAGAAGAGGGTTTAGTGAGGCTACATGGAGATCAAAGGAGACAACTTGGAGTGGTGAACAAACAATACAATATATAGATAATATTTTATAGAACTATATACCTAAAACCTGTGTGATTTTATTAACCAATGTCACCTCAATAAATTCAATGAAAAAAACTTAAGATATTTTTAAAATTCTTTAGACCTGATAATTCTGGAAAATAAAAAGGTAGTTACATAACATTTGCTGGGAATTTGTTCTAAATGATTCATTTACTCATTGGACAAATATTTACTAAGCTCATAAAATGTGAAGGCACAATGTTAAACACTGGGGATACAATGATGAAGGCATTGTCTGCCCTCACAGAGCTTTACAATCCAACAACAATTAAATGGAAACACAGATAATTACAAACCGGACAGGTCCCACAAAAGAAAAGGATAACAGAGTTAGGGATAGCAGTCTGTGTAAATTGCTATTTTCACTCTTCATATTGTCTATAATTAGTTCATATGTCTGTTTTTCTCACTAGATTTTGAGTTCCTTGACAACAGGGGCCATATCTCATACCTATCAGCATGCTTACCACTAATTTGCTGAGACAGTAAATACCAAGTAGAGGGAAAGCACTGAACCAAATGCAAAAAAGCACAGAAAACTAAACACACTGTTATTCTTCTAGTCTTACTTTGATTTTTGGAAGGAATCCAATCCGACCCCGTTTATGCTCCAAATTTCGAGGTTCTTTCACTTTTACTCCCAAATGCTTCATGTACATGAAAATAACATACTGCATTGTTGAACTAGAGGAGAATGGGTTAGGTATAATAAGACTTCTGAGAAAGGAAGGAAGATAAAATAAAGATTGCAAATGACTTCAAAACCTCAATGATGGAATTCTTAGAATTTATTCAAGACACTAAAATATTAGTCAAATAAAATATAGGCGACCAGACGGAGACAGTTCATACTTTTTAAGTTAAAAGAAAAAATATATAATTTAGGACTGACAAAAGATAGTTTTTTTCTTCTTCTTAGAATTCTAGGAAAAAAGTTATATTACCTCTTATCTTCTTCTATAGCCTGAGCAGTCATCCTAAAAATAAAAACATTTAAAAACAAAATATTAAAATTTAATAAGAGTTGTATTAAACCCAGATACCTGAAAGAACAGAACATAGCTGAATGCTTTGGGAGCCACACTAAATCTGTGTCACGTGGAATATAACTGGAAAAAAACAAGGAATTACATGTTTTTCACTCTCACATTATCAACTGTAAATGTTTTATAGCAAGAACTATTTCCAAACCTTATAAATTGAAATTAATGAAAGTATTCCGTTTATGGTCAATTAGAAATTTTGTAGTTACTCATTTTGTTAATATCTAGAAAAAGAAACTCAAGACCTTTATTTAAAGTAAAATATCAGCAATAATAAAAAACTACAGTTTCTCAAATATTATGACAAAATAAATAGCTCCACATACCTAATCTGACACTACCTCTAAATTTGTTTAGAGTAAACTTTCAGCATAATAAGCAACTCAGAAAAGAGGGCATTTCTACATATATTTGTATTACTTACAACACTTCTTCAATTTTGGCAACAATTTGTTCTGCACATGCCCGTTCCTTCTCCAAAGTTACCCGGTCCTTGTCTCGCTCCACATCAAGTTTAGTCAATTCGCTTTCAGCCAAGGTCAGCCCCATGCTCCGTTTCTGCCTAAAAAGAATAGGAGGAGTTTCCTGAGGGAGCCTAAAGAAAAACTATCTGCCTCAGAAAAGTTTCCACAGCAATGGCTTTCTAGTAACTGGAAAATGTCACATTTTTTAAAATTTCAGAACACCATGTCACCTAGGACACTGGAGGAAAAAAATTCTAGAGGCAATCGCTTAACAGAAAAACATATCCTGAAGGAACACACTTAATACTGAACTCAAATGCTGAAATCATATGGAATGGGAACTAGGAACTCTCTTCCACTCCAACACTTTGACTCCAGATGTTCATTATGTTTTAATAACAGTGATAAAGACCATATTTCAACCAAGGATTTAATGCATAACCTTTCCTACCTAAAAAAAATCAGAATAGTATCAGCTTATATCTATCACCAAGCTTACCGAAAATCTTCTAAGTGCCTCTGAATTTCTGGGTGGACTCTTTCTTGCATAGTTTGAATATAGTAGCGATGCAGATCCTCAGGAATAAGCTCAGGTCGTCTTTTCTCTGCAAAAGAAAAGGGAAAGAATGACTTGATTTAAAGGTATAGTCTGTGCATTATAACTGGCAACATATCAATGCTATCTGATGTAAACTTATCTTGGAGTAACATAACGAGAAATTCTTCAATTTGATTCATGTATTTCATCTCAGAATTCAGATTTTATTTACCCTTAAATGCAGGTGACCTACTAGTCACCACATGACACATAAAACCTTTAGAGATGAGTTGAGGTAGATAACTATAAAGATATAATTCTCCAGGATATTGGTACTGTGAACTTACCCAGATCTACTGATATTTCATCAGGAACAGAAACTTTCAGGTGCTAAAACAAAAATACAAACAAAAAGTGAGACAGCACTAATGGCTTTTCAAGATGTATATAAGTACCTGTATAAAGAACTAGAACTTGCATATCTATTTTTACAAGCATACTAATGTGTAACTCATTTACTAGGTGCCACCTACCCAAATTTCACAGCTTGGGTATACTCTATTGTTTAAACTTGAAAATAAGCCCTTTCCTAAGGATCATGCTGTAAAAAAAATATCTACAGTATTTACTAGATGACTAAATGCTTCTGTGCCTAACTTACTCCTATTGGCTTTAGCTTTCTAGAATGAATATTCCAATTGGCTTTGGCTTTCTAGGATCACTGGTTAATATAATTAGTCACACATCATTTGAATTAATAGAGGTAAAACCTAAATAATGTGTATATATTATCTTTTGAAAAATTTACTCACATATAACCATAAATTTTATTTGCTCTATATGAGATAGTCCCACTACACACCACGATATTCCCAGTCACTTTCCTAGGTAAATTTAAAGAACCCTCACAATAGTCACATTCCCAATAAAAAAGTATTGGATGTCTATGTTGAGGGTTTGGTGACTTCAATCTCCAGTAACCACCTACAGTATTTATACTATTGAACTAATTAAAGTTACTGTGTCATAATGTAGTTCACAGCTAGGATTTTCCCCATAATAACTGCAGTTTCTTATCCCAGTACCATGTAGCTTCATTTTTCTTTCCATTAATTTGGGAAATGTCTTGAAAAATAATTATTTTTTGCATTTACAGGAAACACCTTAACATCTGCATACTTACTTTGTATTATTGTGTAACTACTTTAGTCATATACTTCCACAATTTAAACAATTCCTATAAAATCTGAACTTTTATATTTGAAAGTAAGTCACTATGAAAAACAGGGAAACAGATTTCAAAGTTTTCTCTTTAACTAAATTTGCCATGCCATAGTCAAATCAACTTTTCTAACACTATTTCTAGCACAAGCACAAAAATTATATAAATGTTCATTTCTTTATGAGGGTACTTATATGAAATAAATGTCACCTGTGGCTTAAAAATAATTAGCAAATTCATCAAGGTTCTTATACTTTAATGTTAATAAACTTATAGATCGGTAGCAAAATATAAAGTTTTAACTTAACATGGAGCTCCTGAAGAAATGTGAAACTCAAATACAGTTCAATATATTTATCATTTCTTCATGGAAGCAAATTATCTTAATAAATAAAATATGTAATATTTTAAACAACAGCAGTAAAATCAAAATCCTAATTAGTTCATTTAAAAAATCTAATCCTGGAGGTGATGGAAGTGGGTATAAGATAAAAAGCTAGAAAGGCTGTAAGGAAGTAAATTTTGTAGGGCAGTATAAGTCAAATTAAGGTGTTTAGACTTTTAAAATAAGAGAAAATACTGCCAAAAAGAATAACATCAAAATCTGTGCAAACCAAATCAGCTCTGTTCACAGACACTAATAGAAATGTTAACATACATTTTGTAATTATGCTATAAGTACATAATCTAAGTTTCTTTTTTATGAAAAAATGGATTATAAATGTACAGAATATTGTTTAAAATTTTTCAAAAATAATCAGTATTTCTACCAATCTAGTGAAATGAAGTTTTAAGGAATTATGTAAAAGAAATCTGTAATCTTTAGCCAATACTACATGTTGCTAAAGATACTGACAAAACTATTTGTATGTATTTTAGGTGAATTTTGATAATTTCTTTTTTTAAAAGGTGTTATTTACTTATTTTTAGAGAGAGGGAAAGAGGGAGAAACAGAGGGACAGAAACATCAATGTGTAGTTGCCTCTAGCACACCCCCTACCAGGGACCTGGCCTGCAACCCAGGCATGTGCCCTGACTGGGAATCGAACTGGTGACCCTTTGGTTCAGAGGCTGCCACTCAATCCACTGAGCCACACCAGCCAGGGCAACTTTTGATAATTTCTATATATGTAAAATACAACTGAAACCTTGGGCAATAAGTGTTGTTCTGCTTAATCTGACTATATTTTTTCTGTACTTTTTTGATACTTGTGCCAACTGCTCCCTGCTCACAAAGTAAATTACCTAGACAGAAAAAAATATTGTTTCTGACAAATCTGCTCACTGTCACTTAACATTTGGTACGTCAGGTGCATCCAAATTGATTTTTTATTGAAATGAATTTTTCCAGAAGCATGAAAATTGACCAACTAGTTTCTAATTCTCAAGTACTATTTCATTTATTATTTAAGAACAGTGATTATGCCAGATTTTCTTCTTTTTGCATCGAAATACCATTCACTGATCTACCATTAGTGTGCAAAAACTGTAGGCATCTTTAATATTTCATCATTTCGTATCCTAAATAGTCCGGGAAGTTTCTGGCTAGAAACTTTTAAGAAAAATATGCTGTATTGACTAAGATATTTTTTAAGTATATTTTATTGAGCATGCTATTACAGTTGTCCCAATTTGTTTCTCCCCTTTATCCCCCACCTTCCTATACCCTTGCACCTTCCAGCATTCCCCCCACCCCATCCTTAGTTCATATCCATGGGCTGTACATGTAGGTTCTTTGGATCCTCCATTTCCCATACTACTCTTAACCTCCCCCTATCTATTTTGTGCCTACCTATTATGCTTCTTATTCCCTGTACCTTTCCCCGCTGTTGTCTCTCTCCCCCTCCCCACTGATAATCCTCCATGTGATCTCCATTTATGTGATTCTGTTCCTGTTCTAGTTGTTTGCTTAGTTCCTTTTGGTTTTGGTTTTTTAGGTTCAGTTGTTGATAGTCATGCATTTGTAGTCATTTTACTGTTCTTATTTTTTATCTTCTTTTTCTTAGGTAAGTCCCTTTAACATTTCATATAATAAGGGCTTGGTGATGATGAATTCCTTTAACTTGACCTTATCTGGGAAGCACTTTATCTGCTCTTCCATTCTAAAGGATAACTTTGCTGGATAGAGTAATCTTGGATATAGGTCCTTGCTTTACTACTTCAAATACTTTCCAGCCCCTTCTTGCCTGCAAGAGTTCTTTTGAGAAATTAGCTAATAGCCTTATGGGAACCCCTTTGTTAAGTAACTGTCTCTTTTTCTCTTGCTGCTTTTAGGATTCTCTCCTTATCTTTAATCTTGAGTAAGTGTAATTATGATGTGTCTTGGTGAACTTGGGTCTAACTTCTTTGGGACTCTCTGATCTTCCTGGACTTCCTGGAAGTCTATTTTCTTCACCAGATTGGGTAAGTTTCCCTTCATTATGTTTTCAAATAACTTTCCAATTTCTTGCTCTCCCTCTTCTCCATCTGGCACCCGTGATTTGGATGCTAGAACGTTTAAAGTTGTCCCGGAGGTCCTTAAGCCTCTCTTCATTTCTTTGAATTCTTGTTTATTCATTGTTACAGTTGGACCTTAACTTCTTCCTTTTGTTCCAAATTGTTGATTTCAGCCCCCGTTTCCTTCCTTTTACTGTTGTTTCCCTGTATATTTTCCTGTATTTCACTTTTCATACTCTTCATTTCTTCCCTCATTTTGCAATTCAGCTCAATACTTTCTGTGAGCATCCTAATTACCAGTGTTCTGAACACTGCATCAGATAGATTGTCTTCTTGTCACTTAGTTCTTTTTCTGGACTCTTGATTTGTTCTTTCATTTGGGCCATATTTCTTTGTCTCGTTGTACTTGTTATGGTGGTAAGGGGTGGAGCCTTAGGTATTCGCCAGGACGGGGCAACCTTCTTTGCTATGCTGTGGCACTTTCTGTAAGGGAGGGCTCAGAGAGGCAGCAATGCCACTTGCTTGGCTCTTGTCCCACTTTCTGTTACTTCCCACAAGTGGTGCCCTTTCATGTGATGATTTGCAGGTGCGTGGGTCTGTGTACATTTCAGGACTCTGTGGGCATCTCCAACAGACTCTTGTGTAAGACTCGGTGTTACCCCCATGGATTTTTATAGCCCAGGGTTTTGAGTCTTTAGTTTCCCCCACGCTGAACCCCAGAGGTTTACAGTCTCTCGCTCCCCAGTTGTTCCTCCTGGCTTATCCACACTCAAATGTGGGATCGCTCACATAGTCCGTCACCTTGACTTGTCGTGCATCTTCTCTGCCCCCATCTCTGCCCCTCTTACCAGTCTGGATGAATGTTTAACTCCTTGGTTGTTGGACTTCCATGCAGTTTGATTTTCTGGCAGTTCTGGTTGTTCTTTGTTTTTAAATTGGTTGTTATCCTTCTCTTGGTTGTGCAAGGATGTTGGGGACTACTCTGTGTGGTTTCAGAGATTGTAGCTCTGCAAGAGCAAGCTCTGAAAGGGGCTGGTAAGTCTCCCTGGAAAACCAGGTCATAATGCAGGTGGCAGGTATGACTCGATTCTAACACCAATGGTCCCATGAAAATCAGGCCTAAAATGTACATTTTTGTCCTTTGAAGCCAGCTCTGCTCAGCAATAAGCCCTGTCAGTATAACCCAGATGTCTGAGTTCAAGGCATACGGAGTAAAACTCCCTACTTCATGATATACGCCTTTACAGCCATCTGGCACCTGCATGTCTCACAGACCCCAACCTGAAAAGATTTGTGTTTCTTTAATTGTTATCTATAGATACTGTTAGTTTTTTATGACTATAGCCTCTTGGCTATATTGATTGATAAGCTATACATGTGTGCTGTATCCCCCTGCATTTCCCAATCCTAATAAAAGCTGTGTAAGAGAAGGGCTCAGGGCATTCTCCACTAGAGGGAACTGCCAACCCTTTTCCTGCCAGAGCAACAAGACTGTGTCCAGGACAACTTTTTTTTTTTTTTTAAAGATTTTATTTATTTTTAGAGAGGGGACAGGAAGGAGAAAGAGGGAGAAAAACATCAATGTGTGGTTGCCTCTTGCACACCCCCTCCCTACTGGGGACCTGGCCTGCAATCCAGGCATGTGCCCTGACTCTCTCTGACTGGGAATTAAACCTGCGACCCTTTGGTTCGCAGCCCATGCTCAATCCACTGAGCTATGCCAGCCAGGCTTTTTAAGATTTTATTTATTCCTCGCCCAGGACAACTCTTTATTCTCATCTACAGCAGCCCAGGGAACCTCACTGGCCAAAGTTCTCCACATGAGGAAGAGAAGTGTTTCTGTCTATGTCTCTCCCTTGGCTGGAACTCCTCTAAGATATTTTCATTGTAGTTGAAATTTGCTGTACCTATGAATCCAATCCATCATATTTTACTCCTAAGATTTTTAAAATGAACATTTATATTATGCATGGTGAACAAAAGGCAAAGTTCAACGATCCAGGGAAAACTTTGTCAAGTGGTCCAAATATAAATTTATGGATCAATTCTGTCCACAATAAAATACCCATTCCATAATTTTATTATTATTATACATAACTTTTTGTTTGTTTTAGTGCATTTATGTGGAAAAATAAAATGTAGGTATGCACCTATGTCATTACCATCCAGTTAAAAAAAAAAAGGAATAATAAAAAACCCTAAGTGACTACTTTATACCAGGACTTTTCCCCCTAAATCCTTACCTGATGAAAAGGGGCAGAGACAGAGAGAGAAACATGATGTGAGAGAGAAACATCAATTGGTTGCCTCCTGTACACACAGACCAGGGACTGAATCCACAACCTAGGTATGTACCCTGACCAGGAATTGAACCTACCACCTTTCAATGCATGGGATGATACTCCAACCAACTGAGCCACACTGGCTAGCGCTCAGGATTTATTAATAGTGGAGAAACAGCAGTGAATAGACAGAATAAAAATATCTGCCCTGATAAAGTATATAGTCAGGGAGGAGTAGGAATACAAACAAAATAAAAGTTCTGTGGACAAAAATAACAAAGATAACATGAAGTGAAAGGAATCAAATTTCAAATAGGTTGGTCAGGGAAGGCCTCAATGAGAAGATAAGTATTTTCAGCAGTGTGTAGGCAACTTTATAAAGGAATACAAAGAAAGGAAGGATCTGGACAAAGAAGGGGGCCAAAATGTTTGCATGTGTTCATTTGCTTTAAGATAGCAGAACTAACAATACATGCTAATGTAAATGATTCAACAAAAAACAAAAACTGATGATGCAAGATAAAATGGGATCATTTAAATAGCCTCTTTGAGTAAGTATAAAGAGACATAATATACATGGTATGATGAAGGTAGATGATTTATCTGTAGAAGTTCTCTTCTGTATACTATTATACTTTAAATTTCTCAAAGAAACACCATGTCATCAGCTGCAAGAGAGGAAGTGATGGAAGTTTTAGGAGAAGGAAGATGTGAAACAGTCATCTAGGAGAACTATAAATATGAAAGAACTAAGGATATGTAGTGTGATTATCCAGAAGGATTAAAGGCTAATTCTTATTTATACTATAGCAAGGCTAATAATAAAAATCTTAGTTTAAAAACCTATTAAGATTTCGACTGGTAAAATAAAACACTATTATCACTTACTATCATTTGTGTGAATTAGACTTTTTCCACCACTTTTTAGTTACACTTGTACCTACAAACTTCAAAAAGGCTAACCAGAATTCAATTATGCAAGTATTATCTTTTGGATCCTAATATATAAATGTGTGTATCACTTGTGTTCTTTTTTTACTCCTTCATCCTAACTATAAATATGTAGAAACCCAAATATACATATCTCCTAAAATCTACTGTGACAATTCATATGCCTACAACTAGTTTAAACGATAAAAAGTAACAGTCAAGAGTAATCACTAATTGACATATAATACAGAGCTCACAAAGCACAACAATATCCAAAAATACGGGAGGGAAACCTGGAAGTAGGAGGCCAATTATTCAATGTACTATAACAAAGAATTTAATATTATCTTCCTAACTTACTGCAGATCGATCCAGGAAGAACTGATGAAACTCAAGGAAGACACGACGAGTCTCCTTGGAATTGGTCTGTTTATAAAGGTCTGAATAGAGATAACAAAGCTGTAGTAAAGAAGAAAACAGAAAAGATAAAGTGAGAAGTTAAAAATATATATACAATCTGTTAGATTCTTACAGAGTATGAATGTGTGGAACAGGTAAGTCACCATAAACAATCTAATGACTATCATATAATGAAGAGTTAAAAAATAATGTTTTAAGTATCTTTCATGTTTATCCTTGTATGTTTAGAAAACTGAAAGAAGTGTGTCCAGTTATCTTGCATAAGTGACAAGTTTTAAGGTTTATGAATCAATATAAGAACTCTGAATTGGCTAAACTGTAAAATACATTACCAATGTCGCAGGGTCAAACTGTGAAATTACATGATGTAAAAAAACAGCTAAGTGAGCAGGGCGAGATTTTAGAAGTTCAATGCTCTGGAAACAGCTGCACTGCCCATTGATCTAGAAAAAGCAATAATTATATGTCAATAACTCCAACACAAATGTTCAACTAAAGACATCAAAATTTTACTTTGATTTACCCTAAAAATTCAAGATTTAAAATATTTCACTAGAATGTATTAGCAACAGAGGCTATAGAATCTCTTCCTCTGAAATAAATAAACTCTTGGAAATAGGATGGAAGAATGTCCATTTTGGGAGAATTCAAGTTTAGAAGATGATAATCAAGGAGCTAAGATATCTGCAAATGCAAAAAAACTGTCTAACAAAACTTCTAAAACTGTAATGAAAGGCTTTTTGCCTAATAGTGACCTAGTCATTTTTCTTTTCTTTTGGGCTAATTGTAGAAATTGTGGTAGAAAATGGAATTGTATGATTTTAGGTAAGACACCACCTAGAATACTTGTATATTCCCTAACTACACTGAAAATAGAAAACAGTAATAGTTATAATAGAAGTAACTAGAATCACAATTTTCATATAATTTTTCACTTTTAAATAAGGTGAGACTAAAGTTGATCTAAACAAACAATACCAATTCTACACCATCTCTTTCAGAAAATATAAGAGGTAACACTTCTCAATTAATGCTAGAAGGCCATCACTACCTAACTATCAAAACCAAACAAAATAACTACCAAAAAAACCAAAACAAAAAAAAACTACACACCCCCATAAACACAGACACAAAAGTCCTCAGCAAGATAATAGCAAATGGAATACAGCCACACATAAAAAGAAAAATACATTATAACCAGTTAGGGTATATCCCCAGAATCTAAAACTGACTCAACATGCTAATATCAATCCATGTAGTTTACCATATTAGGGGATTATTATAATCATCTCACTCATTCAATAAAATTCAGTATTCATTCATGATAAAAACTCTTAACAAACTAGGAATAGGAGGAAACTTTCTTAACCTATAATAAAAAGTATCTACAAGAAAGCTACAGCTAACTTTGTTATACTTTATGATGAAAGACTAATCTTTCTTCCTAAGATCAGTAATAAACCAAAGATGTTCTGCCTCACCAATCCAATTTAACCTCATACTGGAAATCTTAATCAATGCAATAAATAAAAGATAAACAAATTGGAAACAAAAAAACATCATCTCTAATCATTCACAACATGGTTGTCTATGTAGAAAATCCCAAAAAGTTTTTTAAAAAGTTCCTGGAAGTACCAAAGGCAAGAATCAAGCTAATCATATTCCTATATGCTATCAATAAACAACTGGAATTTCAAATAAAATAAAAAAACTTTACAATAATACCTCCGTCTCCCCAATGAAGTACATAGATATAATTAATGACTTCTTATCAGTTTTAAAAGCAAAGTCATTTCTGTTGTTTAAAGCTAAAATAAGCAACTAATCCATGCAACTAACCAATTAATCTTAGTCATAAAATTTAGCTTTGAATCCTTAATAATTTAATGTCAATCTCCCAAAAGTGTTCATTTTTACAATAAAAAATCTCAAAAATTAATGGGTTTTTAGAAAAAATATCATCACCTGTTCATGTTCAGTACCAAAATCATCATCCTCTGCTCCAATAATATGAAGTGCTGTATGGGTTGAGGGACTTCCAATAAGTGATTGAGTGTCCTGGTAATATTCAGAGAAAAGAAATGGAAAAATTATCTAGTCATCAAATTCAGAGACAGGATAAAGCCAAACCATCAAAAGATGTGGTTGACTAAACAGATGGGATTTCTTTTTATTTATTTTCTTTATGCACTTTATTTTCAAAGAAGTGGTTCTCAAATTTCAAGGCCATGAGCTACTGTAGCAAAGAAAACTACTATAGTATTTATTTTTTTTCTTGTGGGAAAAATAATATTTCCCCTGGAAATAAAAAAACATTCTTTGCTCACAATACCCTTGGTTTTCTGATTCTAATCACTCTCGTATACTTCATTTATGATGTCATACAAATCTAAACCTTGTTACAGAAACAAAAAAATTAGCTTATTTTAAAAAGTGAGATTTTAAAAAGTGGATGAAGACAACAGGATAAAGGAAGAATGAGAGTAGAAATGATAAGACAAAGTTAGTAGAGGTTAATACAAAGATTTCTATTAATGTCACATATTGAAAACCATCACTAAATCCTATTTTTCATTTTTAATTCTTTTTCATATTTGCATAATGCAGGGTTTTTTGACCCTGGCACTGTTGATATTTTTGGTTAGATAATTCTTTGTTGTGGGAGCTGTCCTGTGCACAGTAAGGTATTTAGCAGCATCCTTGCCTTCAACCCATCCATTAAATGCCAGTAAAAACCTCTCAGTCATAACAATCAAACATGTTTCCAAACACTGCCAAATGTCCCCAGAAGTGGGGGAGAAAAAAAAAAAACCCACCCCTGTTGAAAATCATTTGGCACAATGCAAAATAAAATTTGAAGTAATCACATAAAAAACCTACTATAGAAGCAGGTGACAGAAATTATAAAAATAAATTAACAGATCTCATCCCATGCAATGAATCATCCATGTGCCAACTCACAGAGTAAAACCAGCAGCATGAAAAAGGCAGTGTAGAGGCATTAATGTATACTGTAAAAAATACAGGATATCTGAAGACGACAAATACCAAAACCAAGAGAAATAAAATTTGGAAAAAATAGAAAAGAATGAGTTTGGCTTAAATTTGGCAGCAGTTGAACATGCAAGATCTGTTTGTGGCTGAGCAAAGAGAGTGAGGCTATAATCATTTGGGAGTCATCTGCAAAGTAGTTATAGTCGAAACTATGAAATGGATCCAACAAATTATAAATTAAGTAAATAATATGTAACTGTTGTTTCTACTCTTAAATGTTGTCCTACACTATGTAACTGCATCTCCTAAACTTGATTTGGCCTTTTTTACTACTTATTTTTTCAGAAACACACATATTTTAATTTTTTATTTATTTTATTGTATTTTTTCCGTTACCATTTATTCCCCTTATACTCTTCTACTTTTAACCCCCTGCAATCACCACACGTCAGTGTCCACGAGCTCTTTTTTTTGCTCAATCCCACCACACCCCAAACCCCACCCCAGAGCTGTCATCCTGTTCTCCATGTATAAGTCTCTATTTTGCTTGTCAGTTCAGTTTCTTCATTAGATTCCACATATGAGTAAAATCATATGGTATATGTCTTTCTCTTACTGGCTTATTTCACTTAGCATAATGTTCTTCAGGTCCATCGATGCTGTTGAAAGAGTAAAGTTTTACTCATCTTTACAGCTGGGTAATATTCCATTGTGAAGAAAACTAGATTTTAAAACCCAATGTTTTGGTAATTTAAGAAAAAAATCAGGTGAAACAATAGAAAGGCATATACAACAGTAGTAGACAACTTCTGATTTTATAGCTATTTTAATTTATTTGATTTTTCTATATGTTCCTAATAATCAATGTATCATAGTATGATATTAAGCTTTTTACTATAAAACTTTATACAATTCTAATTTAAAAAATAAAATCAAAATGCTAAAAGTATATTTCCACTTCTAGGTATACACCCAAAAGAACTGAAAGAACTTGAACAGATTTGTATAGTCATATATACAGCAGCATTATTCACAACACCCAAAAGATAGAAACAACTCAAGCATTCACTGATAAATGAATGGATAAAAAAATGTGGTGTGTACATATGATGGATTATTATTCAGCTTTAAAAAGGAAGAAAATTCTGACACGTGCTACAACATGGATGGACCATGAAAACAGGCTGGTCAACAAAAGGACAAATATTGTACGATTCTACTCATATGAGGTTTCTAGGGTAGTCAAATTCAAAGAGACAGAAAGTAGAATGGTAGTTGCCAGATGCTCGAGGGAGAGGATAATCTGGAGTATTTAATGCATACCTAGTCTTTGCTGTAGAAAGATGAAAAAGTTTTAGAGATGAATGCTATGATGACTGCACAACATGAATGTTACTTAATGCCAACGAACAGTATACTTAAAAATACTTAAGTGGTAAATTTTATGTTATGTATATTTTATTACAATGAAAAAATTAAACTACCTAATAATACTATGTAGTAGTTCTCCATTTATCAAAAATTTTATTAAGTTCCTTGAAAGCTTAAGCTTGCTCTCAAAAATAATATATAAATAGCGGATATGTCTGTCACTTTAAGTATAAGGAAAACATCACTTTATAGATTTCACACTCACAGTGTCCTGAATTACTTCACTTTTCTCTAGGTTTTCCTCTAGATAAATCTTCTCTTTCAGGCCACTCTTAGGACTCTATTAGAAAAAAAAAAGATATTCAGTTCATTTCAACAGGCTCACCAAAAAAAAAAAAAATGTGTGTGGAAAAAATAATCTTCTGAAGTTCATATATGTATTTAAGACTACTAAGTATCTTTCATATTATACCTGGGTCTGCTACTTTTTTTCCTGACTTTGGCAGATCACTTATTCTCTCAGCTTTTATATTGATAAAATAATACAGAACCAATAGAATAATTTTACTACAACTCCAGGCCTTCAGGACATATTTCTACCAAATAACTGTAACTAAATATTACATATCTCAAACTCATTATGTCAAAATCAATCTCTAACTTTATCCATGTCTGTTAATTCCCTCTGTCCCAAACTATTCTTTTTATCCAAGTTAAAAGCATTTTGTACTATTTATACAAATGAAATTAAGCTTCTATCTATTTTGCTATTACTACCGCATATGAAACTGATGTATGGATTTTTATAAAATTTATATGGTTATGGCTGCAATGAGCTAATGTAAAATAAGAACTACCTGATATGCACAACTTCATTTCTGGGGGATAAGAAATACCCTAAAACAATGGGAATCATTCTTCAGAGCAGCTTAAAATGAGGCACAAGAGATTTTTGTGTGGATGAGAATACAAAAGATACATGCTACAAAAACATATACCAAAATACCTCAAGACAGAGAAAACAGTAAAGCTACCAAAGCTACTGGTGAGTCCTGTCAAAAGAATACAGAAGACAATTTGAAGAGACTCTACTGGCCAAAAAAGGAACAATTTAGGCAATAAAAAGAATAATGATTGCAATGGACTGAAATATAGTAAGCAAATACATTAAAATCTATAAATTCAAAATATCATACACATGTGGCAATATACATACACAACCCTACATTGGTGACCTTTGGAGTTTCTTAGGGTACCAACTCTTCTGAAAACAGATACATAAAGGAAAAGAATCAAGCAAATGCAAATTTATCCCACATTCCCTGTATAAGCTATATTTTATGACAATCTAAAAACTACTGTAATAAGGAAAAATTATTCTTGACAAAATAATTCCACCTAATATACAGAAGAAATGACAAAACAATTTTGAATCAAAAAATGACAAAATCATTTTGAAACGATTAATTAAATCATGGAGGCAGGTTTTTTACCATCAATGGCAGGTAAAAACATGAGATAAAAGCTTAACAGAGAACTTTATAATGAAAGAATCATGCTAATATCATCTGAACACCTTAAACAAAAGTCACCCCCCTCCCCGTATTCACCACCTGATATTACGTAACAGGGTGTACACAGTATCACCCATTAACTGTTCTTAACAACTCTCAAACCTTAATCTGATCAAGACTTGATCTCACTATCAATTTTCAGAAAATATGCATGAAGGAACATGTTAAATAACACCATGAAAAGACAATTACTGGACATATAAAAATGGCAATGAAAAAAAGAGGGAGCTATTATAAATTCAGAGACTTATCAACCAAAGGTTGAAAACCTTTATTAAATCCTGATTCAAATAAACTAACTGCAAAGAGATCATTACAAGACAATTAGGGTAGTGGTTTGGAGCCCTTGGGATGAAAAGAGGCTGGTCAAATGGAGAGATGATTCTTTGGGAAACTGAAACTACACAATGGCACCCTTTCTCATAACCTATTGCAAGTGGGATATGAAGTTTGGAGGCCAAAGATTGCAAAGGACATTTAAAAACAGGTGGTAAGAGGATTTTGTGGGCCAAGAGGAAGGTAACCTGGCCTTGCACCTGCCTGGTCTTGCACCTGAGACTGGGGCTTCAGCAGAAGTACTGGAGAGCTGGGTCAGTGATAGCAACTCAAGCAGCTCCATTCCCTCCCAAAGCAGGAAAGTCTCAGACCTAAGCCAAGAGAGACCTGGACAGGAAAAGGGAGAAAAGTCACTGGGTAGATAAAAAGGCAGTTAAGTGACACAAAACCACCAGTGTACCCCTACTGGGGCAGTGGTCACTGGCTGGGACAGTAGCAGAGAAATTGGGGAGCCAGGTGACACTTGAAGCTGGGAAAAGAGAGGGACCTCCACAGGCCATGACCCAGATACAGTTTGGACTGGTCAGAGAATTGGAATGTGTGGAAAGCAGGCACTTGTTAGGAGCAGCAGGCTGCACCCAAAGGGACTTTTCTCAAAAGAGAATCTCAGCTACTGTGCAGGGACCTCACCTGTGCAGTGCCTGGGCCAGCGAAGAGGGAGGAGTGGAACGTAATTTGCTCCCACTCAGGGTGTCTCAGAGATTGATCAAACTGGGGCAGCAGGGGCTTGGACAGGGAGACTTAATTCAATAGAGGAAATGAGCCACATGCAGGAACCTCCCACTGGCACAGCAGCTAGAACAATAAGGGGGTGGGTGGGGGAGGGAGATGCACAACTATGCCCCATTCAGTGCAACTCATGGACCCATCAGGGGTTGCAAAACAAGATGGATTACTGGCGCTGGCCTGGCAAAAATAGTGCAAACCTCACAGTGCTATGAGAGCCTAGGATGGAAACTTGGCACCTGTGAATATTGTAGCCCAGACAGAACCACAGAAAAGAAAAATAAATGGAGCCCAGCCCCGCTCTGCCTGCAGGATCCCAGAAGACCTGCAACACCAGATTGGCTGGTTTAAAATAAGTACAAAGCTTTTTTTCCCCCCCAAGAGTAAGACAATGAGAACTAGAGCTGTGAACAAACCGGAGAAGGATCCAGAAAGAAGAAAGAAGGCAAACACAACAGCTGAGACAAGACAAACTTTACTTTGTTCACCTTCACAGGTTGCAGGGTTTTTGTTTTTAATTTCTCATATTTCCATTTATTTAGTTATTTTTCTGTTTCTTTGATTTGTTGTTTATTATTGCTTGATTTGTGCTTTTTATTCTTTTTCACATTACATTTTAATTTCTTTTACTTCCCTCATATTCCAAATAACACACTACTCTTGTTTTTTACTTTTTATTTAGATTATATATTTCTTATCATACTATTGTTATACCAAATCCCACACAGCACCCATCCCTGGTCTTAATCCATTTCACCATCTTCCTGAACTTTATTACAGTTGTGGTTAACTTTGTTTCACACTACTCCAAGTTTCTATCCCTTACTCTCACTATTTCTTCTTCATATAAACTCACATAAGCACTTTTCTTTCTTAGCTCACATTCTTTTTCCCTTCTAATAAGAGTCTTATTTCTTCTTCACCTTTCATAAACAGTTGCTAGTTGAGCGAAATATCTTGGTTATTGCTATACTTCTCCCAAGGAACTCCTATTTGTTCACTACTTGTTTGTATTTTAAATGCCACAGAATACTCTCCTGCTGTCTTACTCCATTTTGCCCTCTTCCTACCCCTGTTCAGTTTAGTAAAAATTTTATTTCATTGTTTTCTCTCCTCTCTTTTTTTTTCTTTTCTTTCTTTTTCCTCTCCCTCAACCTGAGCTTTACTCTTTATTCTTATTAGCTTAGTTCCACCATCTTCTCAAAATAATTTTTTTTATTGTAGACATCTCATATTCACTTTTTGCTTTTCTACAATATTCTTTGTCCCATTCCACCTTCATTAAACTTCACTCAACTGTCATTGTGATTGACTCTGCTGTGATTTTTCTGAAATTTTGTCCCCCATGTTCTAGTACCTTTCCAATTTTACTTCAAACTTCAATAGTACACTCTTCCATTTACTTACCACATTGTTCCCATTACCCTTTTGTGTATTACATAAATTTCGTTATCTCCCTTTCTTCACCTCCATTGTATCCTAACTCTTATCAATTCTCCTCCCTCTTACCATACAATTTCCCCATCTTTAATCAGTCTCATTTGGCCTTTGGCCTTTGTCATATAACATCCACAATCTTTCTTCACCTTTATTAATATTAGTTCAAATGTGAATGCGCCTGCTGATGTGGTACCTTTGTGGTACCCATTCTTTGTCCTGGTGTAGGTTTTATTGTCTGGTAACAATGCTTTGTTAACCAACATCTGTACAAAAGCATACAAGACAAGGTGGAAGTTGAGAGTGCCCGTAAACACACTGGAGGGGAAACCTACAAAGGAGCCACCAACAGCTAAAGCACAAGTACAAGAAGAGAGCACACACAAGTGGAAAAGAAAGACAACCACAGAGAATTCACATAAGGAAATCAAAAAGACCATACCACTGAGTCCCACAGATCTCCTCCCATAGAAATTCAGCCTATGAAGACAGCTGGCAAAGCAGAGCATCAGGAATCTCAGAAACAAACAAAAAGAGTCACCTAAAATAGGGAGACTAAGAAAGAACAGAAAATCGAAATCCATGTCAGAATGCCCAGTAAAAGACCTAAATGAAATGGAAGTGAGCAAACTCTGAGATACAGAATTCAACAGAATGTTGATAGGGATGCTCATGGAAATCACAGGCAACTACAAGGAACTGAGTGGGAACTACAACAGTATGAATAAGGAAACAGAAATAAAACAAGAAATGAAGAATGCAATTTCAGAAATAAAAAAATACACTTAAAGGAATGACAAGGAAGCTGGATGAAGCAGAGGACAGAATTAGCAAGACAGAAGACAAAGTAGAAATGAACACCCAGATAGAGCAGTCGCATAAAAAGAAAACAAACAAACAAAAAATGACGATAGCTTAAGAGAACTACAAGACAACATGAAACACAACATTTGAATCATAGCAATACCAGAAGGAGAAGAGGACCAACAGACAGAAAATCTATTTGAAAAACTGAACGAAAACTTCCTGAAACCTGGAGAGGAGAAAAACCCAATGTAAGTTCACAAAGCACAGAGGATCCCCATCATGGTGAACCCAAACAGGCCTACTCAAAGACACATTATAATTACAATGCAAGGTTTTAAAGACAAAGACAGAATAATAAAAGCAATAAGGGAGAAACAAGAAGTAACATACAAGGGAGCTCCCGTTAGGCTAGCAGCTGATTTCTCAAGAGGCACTACAAGCCAAAAGGCAATGGAAAGAA